CCCATCTCGCCATCCATCCATCAAGCCATCCATCATCCATCCATCATTCATTCATCCATCATCCATCCACTTATATACCCATCCCATCATGCATCCATCCATCCATTCATCCATCCATCATCTATCCATCTGTCATCCATCCATCCCTCATTCTATCATCTCTCCATTATTCATTCATCCATTTATCTGGGCATCTATACAACCAATCATCCTTCCTTCCACTCACTTGTCCTTCACTAATTATCTATCACTCCACTCATTCACTGATGAAGTCTTATGTGTGTTAGGACCAGTGCTGGGAATCAAAGGTAATTCAACTGTGGTCTCTGCCATTGAGGAATGCACGGTTGTAGGATCGTGTATTTTGCAGAGTGTGGAAAGTCGTGGCCTCACTGTACTATTTCTCGGTCAGTTCTGACCAACTCACTGGAGCAGCAGCTCTGGAAAGGACGGAGATTTGTCTACTTGTTCACTACTGTATCCCCAACTGCAGGAACAGTGCCTGGCACATTGCAGATGCACAGTAAATATTTGTTGAGTAAATGCACTGAGGAACGCAGACAGGTAGCGTGGGATGGGCAGCAGGGGAGGGACTGGGCCGGCTGTCTTGGGGAAAAAGCTGTGGTACAGGACTTGAAGCTGTGTCTGGAGATAATTTGGCAAATCTCAACCAGGATGTTTTGGGGCTCAGCCACCATCAAATGTGTTGGGAGCTTCTGGGTCAGGCTCCTGTGGCGGACTGGAGAGTACTTTAGGGCGAAAGCCCTGGGGCACTGCAGGGCTGCAGGGAAGTGGCAATCAGACTGGTTGACCTCTGATGCCCACTTCAGCTGGATGTTCCCTAAGAGGATGATCCCAGGGCTGCCCTGGCTCCAGAGTCCAGGCCCTAGGGGTCATCTGGCCCAATCATCATCCATTCAGGTGATGATGACTGGCCCAGGGATGGCAGGTGATCTTCTGGGGTCACACAGGAAGCAGAGGCAGAGCTAGACTAGAATCCAGGCTTTCGGTTTCCAGGCAAGGGTTCAAATCCTCCCTTCGTCTTCTCTTTTGGAAGAAGAGTTTGATTGGCAGCTCAAGTCAGAAGGTTGCTTCTGGTGGGCAGGAGACTGGGAAATGAGGGCCAATGTGTCAGCCAGGACCACACTCGCCACCGCGTGTCTCCATTTTTGGGTTCGTGCTGACCCTTCCAGGCTTCCTGTGCTGGAGGAAAGGACAGGGCTTCCTCGGGCAAGCCCAGGGTCCCTCTCTTGCTTGTCCCACTCTAGGAAGTGGCTGTGCTAGGCACTCTCCCCTCTGTGGCCAACCCCTGGAGCTAGTGTATCTGGAAGAAGGCTCGGATTGCTAAGGGGGGAGGAACGCAGTGTGGATTGCAGTGCGGACTGTGAGCCCGGACATCAGGAAGCAGGTTCTTTGACCAACTTGGCTTTCACCCTGGGGGGCCCACGGAGGAGCTGCCTCTCCAGGCTGGACCTCAGCTCTCATCTGCAGAATGAGGCCACAGTCCCTTCCCTGCTGCCCTGCCTCCTGGGTCTGATGTGGCTGAGACTGCCTGTTGGGAGCTCTTCTGTAGTCCTGTGAGGAAGGAAGGGCGCAGGTTGGTCCTTCTGGGCCTGAGAATGAAGGAGGCAGCAGAGATGCTTAGGACCCCGTATACCAGGAGAGGCCCCGCTGGTCAGGAGGCCACAGTCCCCGGCCAGGCCACAGAGGCTGCAACTGTCCTGTAGCAGCGGCAGGGCAGGGGTGCGGCTGCCACCGAGGCCGCCCCCAGCCTGATCCTCACAGTCTTGGCTGTCGTCTCTGAGCGTGTGATTGTGGTTTCCAAGGACATGGGTGCCTGCATTTGTGGGTGTGTCTGAAGGTGGAGCTGGGGCTGTGTCCGGCTGGGAGTCACATCTTGGGTGCATGTCTTGCTTCTCATAGGCCAGTGTCTCCCCTTCCCTGGGGCTCAGCCTGGCCACAGGGCCCTGGCCTCTGTCTCTCTTCTCCCCACCCAAGGAGAAAGCTGCCCTTGCCCTCCCCTCCGCTCCGCCGCTCCCCTCCGCTGCCTGAGATGGCTTCCTGGGTTTTCCTTCTCCACAGGGAATTGCCAGCCCTGTCCTCTGACCCCTCAAGTCCTCCCTGCTCTAGATCAGTCTTTTTTTTTTTGAGACGGAGTTTTGCTCTGTTGCCCAGCCTGGAGTGCAATGGCATGACCTTGGCTCACTGTAACCTCCACTTCCCAGGTTCAAGTGATTCTCATGCCTCAACCTCCTGCAAAGCTGGGATTACAGGCGTGTGCCACCACGCCCAACTAATTTTTGTAGTTTTAGTAGAAATGGGGTTTCACCATGTTGGCAAGGCCAGACCTCAAGTGATCCTCCCGCCTCGGCCTCCAAAAGTGCTGATTACAGGCATGAGCCACCACGCCCGACCTGGATCAGCCATTTTCACCCTGTTTTCTGCTGTGACAAACAGCACGGGTACTGATCAAAGGGGGCAGGCATAACTCCAGCTGTTCCCTTTCCCTCAGGAGCCAGGAAGGCCCGCGTAGATCTCAGAGTCTAGGGACTGCCCCTCAGAAGGGCTCCGACTTCAGACCCGAGGGCTGGGGGCAGTTAGGTGGTGATGGGAAAGCCTGGCTCCCAGTGCCATCCTGCCCATCCTTGAGGCAGCTGCAGACAGGGAAAGCTGGCTCGTGTTCGGCCGCCTGCAGTAGAGACTCGGGTTCATCCACCGAGTGCTTCCAGCAGGGAGAGTCACCCAGACCCAGTTTTTGTTTTGCTTTGTTCTTTTTTGAGAGGGAGTCCTGCTCTGTCGTCCAGGCTGGAGCGCAGTGGTGCGATCTCAGCTCACGGCAATCTCCGCCTCCTGTGATTCACCTGCCTCAGCCTCCTGAGTAGCTGGGATATTACAGGTGCATGCCACCACGCCCAGCTAATTTCTGTATTTTTAGTAGAGACAGGGTTTCACCATGTCAGCCAGGCTGGTCTTGAAATTCCTGACCTCAAGCGATCCACCCGCCTCGACCTCCCAAAGTGCTGGGATTATAGGCATGAGCCACTGCACCTGGCCTAGACCCAGCTTTGAACCTGGGCTTTGCCACCTGTCTGCTGCGTGACCTTGGGCAGGTTGCACTACTTACAGACAGAAGCCACGTGTCTCCACGGGAGGCCTTCCTCACCCTGACTTTGTGAATTAACAGCTAATTGGCGCTACAGGACAAGAGGAGACTAGAAATTGTCCCTCCTCACCCGGCCTCCCGCTGAGACAAATGCATCTCTGACTTCCCCTGCGCATGTATGCTTATCTTACGTGAAGCACAGATTTACTGAGAGCAAGATGAATCCATAACTGACCGTTTCCTCTGCTCACCCCTTTTCATGTGCCACACGTGTACTCAGGAAGCAGAATCAAAGCCTCAGAAGACTGTGGCCCATGCTCCCTTTTTTTTCCCCTTTTTTTCTTTTTGAGATGGAGTCTCGCCCTATCACCCAGGCTGGAGTGCAGTGGGTGCGATTTTGGCTCACTGCAATCTCCGCCTCCCGGGTTCAAGCGATTCTCCTGCCTCAGCCTCCCCAGTAGCTGGGATTATAGGCATGTGCCCCCATGCCTGGCTAATTTTGTATTTTTAGTAGAAACGGGGTTTTGCCATGTTGGCCAGGCAGGTCTCAAACTCCTGACCTCAGGTGATCCGTCTGCCTCGGCCTCCCAAAGTGCTGGGATTACGGGTGTGAGCCCCTGCTCCTGGCCTGCTCCCTCTTTTTTTTTTCTTTCCTCCTTCCTCTCCTGAGCACTTTTCCCCGTCAATATTGAAGGCCTCAAAATCCTGCTCGTAGGAGAAAGTGCGGCCACGGACCCCACTGTGTAGCGTCTTGTTTCCGGGTGTGTCCTCAACCTTGGCTAAATAACCCTCTCCAGTAACTGGGTTCACCTCGGTCCTGTTCTGGGGTTTCACACTTGACCGGCAGCTTCCTGGTGTCCATCTGTAAAATGCAGGTGATGACAGTGCCCATCACTGAGGGCTCCCAGGAGGGCTGGGCGGGGCCATGCGGGCTCGGAGTTGGCGGGGTGTGTGCTCAGCGTGAGGGCACGCTCTGTGGCTGGAGGCAGCACACAGGCTGATAGGCTCTGCCCAGCTGGGCCCTGACGGGCTTCCTCCGTGTTCCCTCAGTGCGCACTTCTTCCTGGAGATAGAGGGGTTCGAGCCCAACCCCACAGTGGCCAAGACCTCTCCCCCTGTCTTCTCCAAGCCCATGGACTCCAACATCCGGCAGTGGTGAGTACTGGCCCAGCCCCACCCCCTGCCTTGGGTACGGCCCTCAGCTCCCATATGGGGACAGTGACTCCCCCTGGGCCATGAGGCCAGGCCTGGCTGTGGGAGGCTGCTGCTGTCTATTATCAAACTTAATTATTGGCCGGGCTCGGTGGCCCACGCCTGTAATCCCAGCACTTTGGGAGGCCAGGGCAGGCAGATCATGAGGTCAGGAGATCAACACCATCCTGGTCAACATGGTGAAACCCCGTCTCTACTAAAATACAAAAAATCAGCTGGGTGTGGTGGTGCACACCTGTAGTCCCAGCTACTTGGGAGGCTGAGGCAGGGGAATCACTTAAACCCGGGAGGCAGAGATTGCAGTGAGCTGAGATTGAGCCACTGCACTCTGGCCTGATGACAGAGCAAGACTCCATCTCAGAAAACAAAAACCAAAAAACTTTATTATTAGTAGTAGTATTTATTTTTTTGAGACGAAGTCTCACTCTGTTGCCCAGGCTGGAGTGCAGTGGCCCAGTCTCAGCTCACTGCAACCTCCACCTCTGAGTTCAAGCAATTCTCCTGCCTCAGCTTCCAGGTACTGGGATTAGAGGCACATGCCACCACCCCTGGCTAGTTTTTGTATTTTTAGTAGAGATGGGGTTTCACCATGTTGACCAGGCTGGTCTTGAACTCCTGACCTCAAGTGATCCACTGGCCTTGGCCTCCCAAAGTGCTGGTATTACAGACGTGAGCTACCGCGCCCGGCCCATTTAAAAACTTTAAAACCCTCTCCGTTCCCTCCCCCAACACCTCTAGCATCTCTGGCAACTGTGATGACATGGACTCCCCCCAGTCTCCTCAGGATGATGTGACAGAGACCCCATCCAATCCCAACAGCCCCAGGTAAGTCTGGCCCTCCCCCTCCTCCTGCTGTGCCCACCCTTCAGGCTGGGGATGCCAGAGAGACAGGATCGGGATCTTGAAGGAAAGAGAAAGAAGCCAGCATTCCTGGGGGTGGGGAAAGTGGGGTCACAGATCCATTGTATGTGGGAGATTTGGTGGGAAAGAGTGGGGCATCGAATTCCCTAACACCATTCATTCTGAGACGTTCAACAGCAGGCTGCAGTGGAGCAAGAATGTTAGCTTCTACGTGAATTAAAATACACTCGTGCCCAACACCCATGTGCATTATGCAGGAACACATACAGACAAGGAGATGTCGAGGCATTACCACGGTTGCTTATCTGCGGGGGGAGAACAGGGAGGGATCGATTTAAAAAGTTCAAACAGAAAAGCGAACACTGATGTTCTCACTCGTAAGTGGGTGTTGAACAATGAGAACACACGGGCACAGGGAGGGGAACATCACACACTGGGGCCTGTCGGGGGTTGAGGGGCTAGGGGAGGGATAGCAGGGGTGGGGAGGCTAGGGGAGGGATA